CAATTCAATTTTCTTTTTAATTTAAAATTGAACATTTTTTTAAAAATACAACTTTTTTGATTGAAAATTCATCATATAAAATGTTAAAAATATTTTCTAAAAATGAATAGTATTTTAAATAAATTTTACGTTCCCAAAATTTGTTCACTTTTTAATGACTACAGATGTATTTTAATCGAAGAAAAGTATACACAGAATGTTGAAAATAGGATTTAAGACTTTATGGATTAGTAGTACTTAATGAATCAAAGGGAAATAAAACGTTATACCAATAAAGGTTTTAAAATCAATTCTAACATTTTTAGTATTTCATTTTCATTTCACATTTATAAGAAGTATTCTATGTTCTTTCATTTTCTTCGTTTGAATATAAATTAACTTTTCCAAAACATAGATCAGTGTGTATTTTGGTATGCATGTGTTGTTAATGTAAGTCTAAGTATATTTATTATTGAAAAGTGCAGTAAGGTTAAATCAGTCTTTTCGCTTGCTTCCAATGCGAGTTTAAACCCCAAAACAAGCACAGCGTAATATCTGCTAGATTATTATATTATCCAAATGTCATTATTTTGTCCTTTATTCAAATTACATCAAACTAATATATAATGAATTTCAAAGAAATGTGCATCAAAAAGAAAAACACAATTATTATTTATAAAATAGTATGAAATTTTAATAAGAGGGTGTAGTTCATTGTTAGTATGCAAACATCAAAATTGTTTTAATGATTTATTATACTAGTAAATACATAACTATTAACCTTAGAATGCTTACGTGTCTTAAAATTACATGGTTGGCCACATAGGGTCTGTCAGAGTTCATATGAAGAACATCTATAATCTACATTATTATTATTATTTTTATTTTTATTTTTATTTGTACATTGTAAAAGCAAAACAGAGAGTAAAAGAATATTTTCTCAGTAACAATATTTAAAATCAGTTACAAACCACTATAGTGTATATGTAATCTAAACTGTATAAAAATCAAATGTTACATAATTGAGATAATAACGTTTTATATGAATGATTTTGAATTAATAGAAATTGCAACTAACGAATTAATAATTTTATTAATGCATTCTCATCTCATAATTTGTTACTCTGTTAACTAGTTAACTGCGTTTGACAAGTAATACATGTCATCTTAAAACTCTAAATGGTGCTAACTTTTTCAATGATAAGACTACTTATTTTTTTAGAAAAATATGTAATTCTTCTTTGTTTCACAAAAATTTTTGACACTTTGATTATCATGTTACATATGTAGGCTGTTTCATTTAACTGGGTACAGTAAAGGATTTCACAAGAGATAAAAGTTATTAGAAAAATGTTTTTACAAAAGTGGTTTGTGTTTGATGGGGAATGTCATACGCGTAAATTTTTTTTAACAGACAGATTAGTGGATGCGATTTTACGGTCAATTTCGTTTTTCTTTTAATAAAATTATATAATTTTAAATGTACCAATCTATTTATTTGAGCATTACGTATAAGAAAGTGTTAACCTATTTATGTGTAAAAATTGCTGGATTAAGAGATATTTTAATTTAAATATTACAATTTCGTACTGTTAGAATCTGAAGGTAAAGAAGATGATCTGAAGCTGTTGATTAATATAGTGACCCAAAGTTTAAATAGATAGTTACGCACACACCATTCGATTGCTGTCAAAATCACACAGATTTTTTTATATAGATCGAAAATATGTCACAGAAATCACAAAAATGTAAATTAACAATGCTACTACGAGTTGGTCTGATCTTGACAGATTAACGAAAGCAGCTAGAAAGAAAGAAAAAAAAGAAAGAAAGAAAGAAAGAAAGAAAGAAAGAAAGAAAGAAAGTAAGTAAGTAAGTAAGTAAGTAAGTAAGTAAGTAAGTAAGTAAGTAAGTA